GTTAGGGATTGCAAACATAGTCCAAAACGGTTATTCTCGTATGTAAAAAGACGAACCCAGAGAAGTGATGGGATTCCATCACATTTGGCAAAAGAAAACTCAAAATTTTGGCAAGAAATGATACCGAAAAAGCTGAAGCTTTATCGGAATATTTCAGCAAAGTGTTTTTTATCAGTAATGAGGAACGACCAAATATTAATTGGGATTGTGGTGTCTTGTTGATGGACCCTATAATTAATACGAAATATACTGTCTTAAGACTTAAGGCGGCCTGCTTGAATACCTGGGCTACCTGTTTTCTGCCATCTAAATATTTCAACAAGTTATCTGGGTGTTTTTTAATTTGTTTTAACCTATCATTATGTATATTGATCGCATAACCTACACAGGCGCGTTTATAAAATGCTTACGTCCTTTCGCTGCAAAAATTACAAACAAGCACAATAAGAGACATCGTGGTGGTTGGCAATATGCTTTAAAGAGAATAAACATCAATCAAATGTCGATTCCCGAGCTACTTAACTCTAACTGTCGATCACTAATTAACAAGGTGGACCAACTCCAATTTCTGCTAAGTCAAAACATGTATCGTAATTGTGGTGTCATCACAATTCAAGAATCTTGGTTAACTGACTTACAGGATGATTGCTTAGTGTCATTACGTGATTTTAATATCTATCGTCAGGATCGATCAAACAATAGAAAGACTTGTGGTGGCGGAGTAGCTACTTTTGTAAACGTTAACTGGTGTAGATCTACTTTTGCCTGTTTCAAGTTTTCAAACGACTTTATTGACTGTCTAACTTTAAGGTGCCGTCCAAAACACCTGAATAAATACAAATATATTTATGTTACCAATATCTACATGACTCCAGACTGCACATCATCTGCGCTATCTGTCTTCACTGATAAATTTACTGAATTCGCCGTTACTGCCTTCAATGATTCACTTTCCATTGTATGTGGTGATTTCAATTCATGTGACTGTAGCTTCCTTACATCACTAGGTCACCTAAATGTAGTAGATTTTCCTACTCGTTTGAATTCTCATCTAGACTTGGTTTTCATTAATGATGTGGGTGCCTATGTGACTCGCAAACGTGCTCCATTGTCTAATTCGGATCACTGTATAATTCGTGTCTTACCTAAAGTATATGGTAAACATGGAAAGAGTACACACATACACCATACCAAAAAAGTAATATATAGGAATTACTCAGAAGAAAATTTACAAAATCTAAAAAACATGTTTCGTACGACCAACTGGGAATTATTTACAGATGACTCAATAGAAAACACAACGGATGTTATCACCTCTTATCTTAAATTCTGTTTTGATATTTGCTGTCCTACCGAAACCTTCTTTTTAAGTTTTGATCGACTTACATCTCCACAACTAAAACGACTACGGAGGGTAAAAGAAAGGATGTACAGGGAGAAAAACACTATTGAAGTTCGTAAGTTAAATGATCAAATAAACCAAGAGATTAGACGTCTCAACTGTGTGTTCACTCAAAAACTTCTATCTTGCAGAAGCTCTCCAAGTATGTGGAAACTCTTTAAAGAAATTACAGTGGACAGGCAGACTAGAAGCGATAACCAGCTAAATGTTTGTGACTTAAATAAGCCCTTTATTCAACAGTCATCTGACATCATGCTCCCTATATCCAAGGGTTTGAAGAATAATTGTGTCCCCAGTTTCACTGAAAATGATGTCTGGAAATGTCTCCAGTCTCTGAATTCATCCCAATGTTTAGGACCTGATGGTATCCCAAACCTCCTTTTTAAAAAATGTGCCGATGTTTTATGTTATCCATTAATGAATATCTTCAACAGATCCTTCTCAACTAATGTCTTACCGAAAATGTGGAGAAAGATAAAGGTAATCCCTATACGTAAGAAGGCTTCTGGTGATAAAAATGAGAAACTTAGACCCATAGCAATAACCTCACCTTTCCTCAAAATAATGGAAAAATTACTGATACAACCACTTCAACCTGTAATAAAAGAGCACTGTGATCCATATCAGTTTGCTTACAAATGCAAAAGAAGCATATTAGATGCCGTTGCTGTTCTGCATCACAATATAGTGTTCGGGTTGGAAAAGGGTAAGAAGTATGTTAGATGCGCTTTCCTGGACTTTACTTCTGCTTTTGATTCTATTCCAAGACACCTCTTACTTAACAAGCTGATCAGCGTCGATACTGACAGCTTGATAACCAATTGGCTATGTTCCTACCTTTCTGGAAGAGAACAGTACACTGTCTTTGAAGGAAAGTGTTCAACATCTCTACTGTCTACTGTAGGTGTGCCACAAGGAGCTGTTCTTTCACCTCTGCTCTTCTCTTTCTTTTTGCATGATCTGCCATCTTCCACAGAAAACACTTTTGTAAAATATGCGGACGACCTCACCATATGTATGCCAATTTCTACCTCCTTACATCCTATAGAAATGAATGACTTTTTATCTCGTATTGAAAGGTGGTCTGTTGGTAATGGTCTCTTACTCAATCCATCTAAATGTCAAGCTGTTAATTTTAGCTTGAGACATGAACAGAACCTATACTCTATGTTGGGATCCCATAATGCTTGTGCCATTGGAGACTCCTTAATAAACACAGTGTCGAAGGTCAAATATCTTGGTGTTATTTTTTCCTCTGATCTTTCTTGGTCTTCTCATGTTTTGCTGTTATCGAAAAAAGTTTACCGTTTGACATACTACATAAAGAGGCTGCATGCTTTTGGGATTACTCGCCATTTACTCTTACACTTTGTAAATTCCTGCATATTACCTATTATTTTATATTGTTCTCCATTATTCTTTCCTGGGCTTTTGAGAAAAGACTTTGCTATTTTGCGTAGAGTGCTGAAGGCAGTTTGCAAGGTATGTGGTGAATCTTTTGAAGTCATTGTTAATATGCTTGTGGATAGACATCTTAAGGCTTGCAAACTCTTGGCAGGTGTTATCTTATCAGATACTAAACATCCCCTTTATTCATATCTTTCTCCTTGTATATCTTCTGGTAGAACGAGACGTAAATACATTAAAATTCATGCACGCAAGCAAATCTATAAAAGTTCTGTAATACCTTACTTAGCTAATTTACTTTGTGACGAACAGGCTGTTATAGTTGACCTAGTAAATAACCTGTCTTCTTAAGCATGTCTCATATTCGATAATTTGTATAAACTCAGATTTTCTTAAACCATTTTTATATTTTATTTCTGTTTTTTGTTGTTTTTTTTTGGGAAAAAACTTGTTGAAATAACTCGTGCTGAGAATTCTATATTGTACCAGATTATAATATAGAATAAAGCCATTAATAATAATAAAAATACTTCAGTATCTAAAACATGATAAGTCCAGTGGTCCTGATGATATATATCCTAGGATTATGAAAGCCATATCAGATGTTATTGCTGGATCTTTAGCGATGCTGTTTGATATGTCTCTGCGGCAGTCCAGATTGCCCAGGGACTGGAAAGACGCGATAATTAGTCCGGTGTCTAAGGCTGGGAGTAGAGATTTAGTTAGTAACTGTCGACCCGTCATCTTAACTAGTACAGTTGTAAAACTAATGGAAAAAATTATTCGGATGACTGTTATCAACTATGTGGAAGGACATGATCTTTAATCCAGGGAACAAAATGGTTTTCGGAAAGAGCTATCATGTTTGACAAATCTTCTCATTGCAAGAGAAGATTGGGCTGAGGCAAAAGATCTCAATATTTCTGTAGATGTGATTTTCATAGATCCAAGTAAATCCTTAATAAGGTTTCCCATTCTGGTCTTCAATTAAAACTGGAAAGTTTTGGAATTCGTTATGCAGTCATAGACTGGATAAGTGACGTTCTTCATAACAGGAGACAAAGGGTAGGAGTAAATGGAGCTCTCATCGCGGGAACCAGTAAAAAGTGGAGTTCCTATGATAATTAGAAGTATTTGAATTGTAGTATAGACTAGTAATCCCAGGAATAAGGCAATTTAATCAAGAAGTATTAGGGAAGCACAAACGAATGTATTGTACTTGGAATTCAAAATCACAACAGTCATCAATACAAAGAAGTCATTGATTTATTTAAACATCACAGTTCCCCAAGGCACAATCCTCGGTCCTCTTCCCTTTTTACTTTATGTAAATGATTTACCAACTGTAGCTAAGTCATCCGTCCTACTCTTCGCCGATGACATAAAGATTTGGAGATCCCTATACAGCATGTCAGACAGAATAGTATTACAGGAAGATCTTAACTCATTAGTGGCATGGATGGACGGGTGGTCACTGGAAGTGAATCCTAACAAGAGTGTGGTGATGCAACTAAATAACTACTATCACTACACAATATGTGGATTTCTGTTACCCAAAATAAGAAACTATAAAGATTCAGGAGTCATACTAAGCAATGATTTCAAAACAACCAACCACTGTAAGGTTGCTGCTGCGAAAGGCTATAGGGTATTATGGTCCATTCGTAGATCTGTCCATTATTTGAATGAGGAAATATTTAGATTATTATACCCAACTTTCGTACGACCACATTCGGAATACGGGATTCAAGTAGCGAGTCCTTGTTTTAAATATGAGGTGGATATGCTGGAACGAGTCCAACGCCGTGGGACTAAAATGGTAAAAGGTCTATCTGGCATATCCTATGAAGACAGACTGAGACACCTCAACTTATTCCCGTTATCTTACCGTAGAATACGGGGTGATCTAATACTGGCATATCTTATCCTGAACGATTACCTTGGTACTAACATGTCCTATCTTTTCGTTCCATCTAGGACTGGTCATTTGCGAGGACATTTGAAGAAAGTCCAAAAACCGAGATCAAATCGTCTACGTCTGGAGGTTCGTTTCTCGCACCGAGTAGTGAATTACTGCAGTTCTGTAGCAGAACACGTAATATCAGCACCTTGATGTATTTAAAACAGGATTAGATCTCCACAGTGTAACAAACTGCAAGGATTAAAATAGGTTAATAGACCTCCTTTCCTTATTACTGAAGTCTGAGAACTAATGGAGCCAAATTTAAAGTTGGCGTTGCTCAGTAACTTCCGGAAATAGCTGGGTATGGATTTCTTCAAACGTTCCAAGTTCGACAAGCTGATTGGTAAGTGATACTACTAATAAAATAAAGATTGTTGAATTTATAGAGAAGGCGACCAGCGAAATGTTGATTGAATCAGACATTGAGAGTATCATCGCAGTTTGCGATAACGTGCGTAGTCAAGAGATTTCGTAGGTTAATACTTCACATAATTACAAAAAATAATAAAGGCCTAAATATGCGGTTCAGTGTTTGAAGAAGCGTCTTCAGTGTGACAATCCAAACGTCGTCCTACGCTCATTTGATGTAATCGCTTTTTCATAAACTTACACTGTAGGTGCTGGAGTCATTGATGAAGAACTGTGGTACACCTGTTCATGAAGAAGTTTGCAGCACTGACTTTATGCAACAGCTTGTTGGGATGGTCGACGTATGTTAATTGATAGACTCTGATGCTCTTTAGACCTCCCCAGACGTCCGCACAAAGCTTCTAGAGTGTCTTCAAAACTGGGCATATGTTTTTCGTGATAAGCCTGGCTACGTTGCTGTCATAGATGCTTATGAGAACCTTAAAAACGCTGGCTACGTTTTCCCGGAGTTCTCAGAGAGTGCTGCGATGTTCAGTGTAGTTTGCGCTCCAAGTTGGAAGGAAGGAAATGCATGCCATCGATGCAAGTCTGCATTTACTACATTCAGGCGTAAAGTAAGGGCTTTGTTCTATTTTCACTAAACGCTTAAAGTTTCGTATCAGTATGTTGTCAAAGTAAAACTCTAGTCTTCATTAAATTGATCTGATCGGTTGGTATATAGGTCTTTTATCATGCGTAACTGGAAGTGCGTATAAATATCGCTTGTTTGCTGGTAAACTAGCATTCTTTCATCTAATATGTGAAGCGTTTATTTTCATTGAGTTATCATATGTTACTATTAGTAGGTGTAGGGAAACTTATCGAAGTCTGATAACTGAATCACAAACAAGTAATTTCCTCGGCGCTGACTGTAAAGTAAAAAAAGGTATCCACCTATCTTTATCGACTTTTTTGATTAGCAAGTTACTTGATTTGAACGTGATTTTCATTTAATTGGTATATTTTTCAGGTTTAAGTCAATTTTGTACATTTGTAAGGAGCGTTTGTATTCTGGTTTGATGTAAACCTTTGGATTCGAAATGCCAGTAGCTAGGCATATGCTTGACGTGAAATCCAATATTGTGCAAGACATATATTTTCATTGCCAAGTGAGAGGTTTCATACGTTGTGTTTGTGGATACTAACAAATTAAAATGTAATGTAATAGTGCGCAACCATCTTTTGCCTTCGGTAGATAACTGCCTCACATCAAACACGGTTAAACTCCACTGGTTATGTATTCTCACTGAACTCCGAAACTAACTCTCAAAGATAGTCACCAGTAAGTAAATGATAATTAACACTATAAGGTTGTGAAGATTGTTGAGTTTCGTCAAGACTATGAAGCGATCAGTGTTAAACAATCATTAAATACCTGGATCTTGGTAGCTCACTACTGAAGAGTCCCATGTTAGGAAGAAATAGCCACTCAGTGTTTTTAGGTTTCAAATGGTGGTCTAACATCGATCGGCTCATAATCGCAATTAAATCCATTAATCTTCACAACCCTATGCTGTTCACTTAAAAATATTTTTTGTGGTATAGTAACAAAAGTTATTAAACATTGGATCTGGTGTGTTCCATCTTACAAATCTTCCGGACTAGTTAGCACTAATAGATCATAATTCAGCATTTTTCAAGTTGCTGATGAGTAGTAGTAAGGGATGTCAAAAGCCAACGAAAAATCCAAAGCTCATTGTTCATTAGTGTTAGCTATCGTCTGTTTTAGTATATTAACTAGAATAACTTGGACTAATTGTTGCTAATAGTACCGTAGGTTGGTAATATATTATCAACTAAAAGTTGATTCGACCTCCTTCAAGGGCCGTCATAATTTATCAAACAGTTACAATCAAACCGATTGTAACATGCAGTTTGTCGTACAAACCAGCAACAGTTCCTTCATAAGTTTTAAATGCTAAAAAGTAGAGAATCCTACTGTAATGGTTACAGTGAATGTAACATGATAAAGTTTATTTTATAATGTCAGAATGAAGTTGTGGATGAGCGAATTTGGGGAATGCAGTCGTAACACAAATATTGTAGATGCACTATACATCCACTCAACATACTTGATGGTGGTATATTTTTAAATAATTATATTGCTATTAAACGAGTTCCTATAATTAATTCGTCAGTTGAGATGGCTGGGACACGTGTTACGTGTGCCCAACCACCAACTGCCCGACGTGCAATGTTTTATGGTGTAGGAGTGGGTTGGAAGAAAGCTAGGGATGGCCAGACCAGATCGTGGCACAAATCTATGAAGTCGCTGACAAGTGGACTGAGCCATGTTGGTAGATGTAGACTACCTGGTTGGGTTGCGCGAGATGATAGCAACCGGTGGTTAGAGTTATTTATTTTATTTAAACACATAAATATTGGTACAAGGAAGCACCAGATAAATATGCGCCTCACAAATCTTATTTGATTTGTGTGAGGACTGTGATACTGCCTAGGTGCCCAGACTGAAGCAGGTGGTCGTCTTAGGGGGCCACACCCCGAGCCTTTGACCTAAAAGTCTAGTCCACAGGGCAGTGGAGCATCGTAAGGAGATGCAGGTCCATGGTAGCCGGTGACCGACGATTGATTCATACGCCATTTGTTCCTTCAGGATACTGGAGCCCATGTGCACCATTGGTTTGGAGTCAGGGTTTTCCGACTCCCCTAGGTGGACTTTCCGTGTCCACCAACCCGGTTAAAGCGCCGGACATTCGCTTTTCGTCCTCTCAATTTCGTAAATAACACCCCCGCCACGAGAAGGCAGTGAGTAGGACTTCTCTGGCAGAGACTATATATTCGCGTGGCCATGTGAAAGCATTTGGAGAGGGAGAGCGGACTCTCCCCACTCTCGGCCGTACCAGGGCATTTGGGGGCGGTGGTTAGAGACCTTGAATGGCATGACTCAAAATCGTTTGCAATGGAGAAAATGCATCCACTCTTTGTGCTCTGCCAAATGCTAATCTTCTGAATTCTTCATGTCCCTATTTTTTCTCTTTCCCAATTTATTTCACTGGATTTTACCCCTTCAATAACATCTTCAAACCCTAATCTTTCGGATTACTGCTTATACTTTTACTACCTCTACTACTATGGGATTTGAATTGACAATTGCATCTCTGCTAATGTGGTATGGCAAATTGAACTGATGTACGTACGTGCGAAGTTCTACGTCGTGACTGGCGGGTGCTCCCTGTGCTATATTTTGGGATCTTGCTTTTTCCATCTTAAATGTTTGGACACACTACAGTAGAGACGGCTGCTGCTACACCGGCTATCTTGGTCTGCATTTTTTGCTGTGTAAGAGATAGAAGAGCTAGGTTATCTGCGAAGTCCAAATCGTCTACCGGAATCCAAGCTAATCATCTTAACACTGGAAGACATTCCTTGTGGTCCCTTTCTTTGTTTTGGAGAGTGCTTTGGTGGCCCTATATCCTTGAGTTACTCATCCTATAAGCTCTTTCCGCGTTTATTTGGAGAGCATCCGTGCAACATCTAGTCTGTATGAGAAGCTATTTCTTCTGCATGACCAGAATGCAACACAGGCTCTCTCGAAGTTAGTGTTTTCTGTTTACCTTGCGTCCAATGGGTATCACTAATTCTAAGCACTAACAGTTTGGATTTTCTCATTTCCTGAACTTTCTGAGTGGTCATCCGACATTGTCCGAATATTGCATGTACCTATATTAATTGTTACCCTGATTGTCAGAAGAAGTATTTATTTCCCGATTTCCGAGAAATCTTGACTTGCAATATGAGGTGTTATAACCTTTCTAAATAAAGGCCTACAATACCTTGGGGGGGGGTAGTTTAAGTGTTTTAAATCATTTTCTATGGTTGTCCTTTTTTCAGCAAGGTTGTTTTCCACAGTATGAGGTTACTTACTCCATGCTCACCTTTGGTGCTTACTCGGGTTTGGTATCAGCAATAATCCTGAAGGGCTGCAGGAGGAGTAATCATGAGTAAAAATACTGAAATATTTGGGATTAGTTCCTCTCCTACAAAATGGTAATTTTGGCCTCACATCTTGTCTGTATCAATGCCCAGTTTAAGCATAGTGAATTAGAAGATCACATCCACTACCTCGCTTATCCTTGAAGTGCCATTCGCCATATTATGTTGGTGGCTGAGGATATCTCGACACGAAAACATAAAGCTTCCACCTACTCTCTGAGGATACTGTTCAACAGTCAGCTTTGTATTACTGTACGGTTGTGAAATATGGCCGATGTAAGTGGTGAAATTCCCCTGGCCACTATTGTTTAATCATAATTCTCCAGGAAGCGTACCTTGTGTAATCCTGAGGTTTGGCGTAATGTACTAGATTACGATGAAAAAATTGTCTGATAAGACTAAAAACCCTCATCGCTTTAGTTTATATTTGTTTTATTCATTTACTCAATTTTTTAACATTTAAATATCAATAAAAATACTTACACTAAAGCGTAAAAATCCGAATTACACATTATGTTAACCACTTGAGCTTGATTCTAAAATGTATAGATAACTGGGAGTCAGTAAAAGCATACTTCATTGAGCTATTCATGCTGAAAAATTACAGACTTACTACATATTTGTTCATCAGTTTCCGATCTACGATTTTGAATAATAGTTGTAGCGTTATATATTGAATCCTTCCTCACTTATATTTGCTTTTGGCTCAAAAAATTGTCAAATTTTACTTTATTCAGTTTAAAATCAGTTAACATCTTACAGCAGTTGATTTAATAAACTCGATAATTTACCGGTGGCTTGATTGTTAAGTTTTTAGACATGCAACTACTAGATCTCGAGTTTAAACGCCAGTCAGTCTACTTCTATTCGGGAAGCTGGATATTCTCAAATCTGATAAATCCATTATCCCTGTGGATTCCTCATGTTAATTTTAGTTAATATGTCCCCTTGTGTACTTTTTTATGTTCTGTTTTCATCTTATTAATCCTTTTCAAATGTATCGTCACCTTAATTTTTTCCAGCATCACTGCCGCAAGTGTGGTCAAGTGTTTTGTGGTGAATGTACCTCATCGCGCGCCATTTTGCCTGAATTCGGCATTGAGAAGGAAGTGCGTGTCTGTGATTTGTGCTTTGAATCAATTAACAGGTAATTGTCTATAAACATTCCATTATGTATACATGATTTTATTTATTATATCAATTAATGATCGTTTGCAGTAACGCGTGCCTGTATATTTATATATTCACTTGAGCTGCAATAAAATTTACCAAAACTGTTGAAGCGAACGATGAGTTTACTTTCTTTTTCCTTACTACGGCATATTTTGCCGAAATCTTCCTTGCATTTTCTGCTTATGTCGACTGGTGGGATTACAACACCTTGTATGTACTGTTTTCCTAGGGGCCATCTGTTTCTAAAACACATATCTGCTACACTGATGAAAGTCAAGTTTATAAGAAACAAAACCATCAGTCAGTGGTAGAAGTCAGTCAGTCAGCTACAACATAGGACTGATTTTACAACCTCATGTGGAGTTCATCAAGACTGTCCGCCATCTCCATTTCTGTTTAATTTCATCGTAGACCTACTGCTGGGAATAACGTTCTCGTCGACTGAATTTTCAGGAATTGATCTCCTACCAGGAGGTCCACTTACCCATCGACTTAGAAAACACAGATGACATAGTACTGTTTGGTGAAGACGCTGATAAAATACAGATTCTTGGTAGCACTGACCAACAATGCCAGGATATTTGGGATGCATTTCTCCCCCTGTAAGTGCAAGTTGTTACTTCAGAACTGGCCTGCGTATATCCTTATATACAATCTATATTTAATATATTACTACCATTGAAGTAACTACTTCTATGAATTTAGTGTTCGTCTTGTTGTGCTAATGAGGTGTAGCAACTTGGACCGATGCATATGTGCTCCTAGTCCTACATTTTAGATCACTGACTGACTGTTTTGTCAACGAATAACAAGTTTTCATTATTATTGCCGGTAGTATTGGTAATAGTATATGCTGTCATATACATTTTTGCAGTGCATTTTAGCATAATATCTTCGTTGTTGTTTCTGTTTTGTAAGAGGATTGTCTTCTGCTTCAAATAACTCTGAAGATAAAAGGTCTGTGGAGATGGAGAATCAGGTAATCTTTATTCATTTTAGATCTGTAATTCCATGTTTTTGAATGTTTTTTACACTTAGATCTTAAATTTCGGTATTCCAACTTCACTAATCCTAGCTAATTCGGTTTTTGCATCTACACAATTATTAACACTATATTTTCTAGGACATGTTTTTTGTCATGTAGGATAGACTGTAGGTTGAAGTCGGGTCCTGAGTGTCACTTAATAATGAAGAGATCCTTCTGCAAACTTTATGTAATTATGTAAGTAACAGCTGTTCCCTACTTTTGTGGTTTGGATTCTTATATTTAAGTCTACAAATGTTTGTTTTTTTGGCAGATCAGTCGATTACCAAACAGCATTTCAAAGTCTCTACATATGTTGACCTAATGGTATTTTTTTCACTCAGAAATAGTACATGATACTGTTTAAATAAACATACTCCAAGTGTCCATTCCACTAATCCTGTCTTAAGCGACTCACATAGTAATATAGGCAACAATTGAAGTGTAGGAAAAAAATATAGTGAAACATATTTTCTTTATCTTTACAATCATTCTGTCTTTTCTATTACCTTCAGGTAGATATTTTCATCAATTAAAATCTATTTTCGTCATTGATTATTTTCAGAGATTTTCTGTGGCTTGATTTTTCATTGAAATGCTTACTATATTTGTATTATGATTTATATATCACCATAATAATCTATCTTGAAAAGATGTCGGTCGTTTATGCCTTTCTAAATACGGAAAGGCCTCATAGAAAGCATTGGTGTCATACTAATCATTAATAATTGTAATAGCCGATTGTAATAAGATTTGATGATAGCCAGTTCTCTTGACAATACTACTTTCATCTAATGAGATAGGCTTAGAAATATCAGGATTTATAGTTCACATTCACTCCTGATTCACAGTTTTTAGTTGCTGGCAATTAGATTCAAACAAATCTTTTCGACTTTTCACATTCACAGGAGTTGTAGGTGACTGTTTTGTTCTTACATACTGTTTAAAATTGTGTTAATTTACCTGTTACTTATTTACTTACTTTGAAGAAATGACTTGCATTAAGTTACGAAACGCCAGAAATTCAAATTCCTCCTTATTAGAATATCACAAAAATATAATTATTTTACTATTTTTAACTTCCTATTCAATTCTCAATCTATTTGAAACTATCAACAACATCCTTGGTATTGACACCTAGAAACACATTTCTTGAGATATTTCCGGGTCTCATGTTGTGTTAAGTTTTCCATTGAAAAGGGTTGGTTACATTATTTTCATCAGTTCCGTGATTCTTTCTAATTATAATCGACTTTTATTTTCTCTATTACTTCACCTTTGACGATATTTTCACCTGTATAATTTCCTAACCTCAACTTATGAATAATGTCCTTGGTTTCAGTAAATTGAGCTTCCAAATAAATGTTATTCACTTCAACAGGTAACACATCATACACTGATAGTCATAACTGAAATTCTAGACAAGGGTTCTAAACTGTTTTCAGGACATTAATACAATATATTGGTGTAAGTAATAATATAACTTCATGTAACCCTTGTTTTGATGACTTGTCTTTTCTAAGGATTGCCCTTATTACAGAGCTATCAAATATGAATTCCTCTACTGAATCACACTAATAGCTACTTTGGTTCTGTACGAACTAAAGTTAATCGTAATTTCTATTTTTTCTCTTCTCCGACACATCCACTCGTTGACGGAGTTCAGATCAGAACATGAGTTGTATAGATACCACCATGCTCGTCCTAATAAATAAAATTGTACATGATAATAATCAGTAATTTTACTAAACGTAGTAAACCGAGTGTAGCAAAAAGACACCAGTGATATCTTTTTCAAAATTCGACACAAACAGCTATCTGTATGCAGTCAGGATCAGCTGGATAAAAGGCACTTTTTAAAAACTTAGTTATCATCTTTAGACTAAACCGTTATGGGTGGGAAATCGCGTCACCATCATTCTAATTAGAAGGATCACTGGCTTAGATGTCAACTACACGTTGGCTCGAGATCCCTGTTAAATGTTCTCACATAGTTAATCTGAAGGAGGAGGTGTACAGATTCCTTATTTTAACGTCAGTAGTGAAAGCAAAACGGTAGCCAGGTGATTATCGGAAATAGAATTGCAATATCATACACAATATTGATATACTTGATGTTATTTCTAAATCACCTTACTCGGTAAACGGAACGAAGGTCAAAGACAGTGACACAATAGGCTATTCTAATCCATTATCCCAGGCCATGCTAACTAGATCAAGAAGTCTTGATGAGGCGTAGATAATGTATTCTACAAGCACCTATAAAATACGAGGTCACTAAGCACACAAATCAAGCTTATTTATACAATGATAGAAACGCCTTTGGGAGAGCCACAAAATAGGGTACTAAAAAAATCCGTCAACCAATGACAGTCAAAGAATTGCAAGTGAGAAATAATAGCTGTAGGGGTCAACTAAGCGTTTCTTGGCGCGAAAAGATAAAATTCAAATTTTTAGAATAAAATTACAAAATTAGGACCTTTTCCAAGTGAGTTCTGGGAATCTAACCTCCCCAACAAATATATCAAAAGGAAGTCGCTGGAATATTGAATCTCGGTAGACTTGAATATCTCTGCCCGATTTAGTTAAGGCGGATTGTTTGTACTCAGTCTATCCGTTTACCTCCTGACCGATATGTCCCAGATTAAATATTTCCGCTTACAAAAGTCTGGAGTTCTGAAATGCCAATAGTTTTTACACAAGAATTTTAATCCAAGATCATCTTGATTGTTAGTAAAACAATTACAACTAGCGGAATAAATCGAATCTCAAAACTACTCTTTTCAAGTTACTGTAAGACAAAATGCAAGTGCGAAGGAATTATCAACCATAAAAATAATCGATGTTTGTCCTAACTTATTTAGAAGACCGAGGCATAAGAGACTATTTAACTGTACTGTCGCTAAGTAGTACCGTATAACGACAGACCAAGTGTGAGTAAAGAAGTTAATTATATACTATGAAGCAGACCAAGTAGTTCCTGTTATCTCCTTGTAGTGTCGGTTGGTATGTTAAGCTCATGTACTTTATTCTAGCTTCTGGACAAGCCAATTCACCTATCCAACATGAGTCATGTTTCGACCTTGTTAATTATTTACTGATTAACCCTGATTATTTTTTTATACGAGCGTATGTGTGCACACTTTTCATCTTATTCATCACATGTCTGCAACTTATTCTTCTCTGACTATAAATATTGATTAAAGCGAGTTGGCTTACCCGCCATCTCCAATGTGCGTTATTTTCGCTGCTTGCTGATTTTCGCTCATGTGCTCATAGCTTTCTGGCCTGCGTCGATTGCTAATAAAACTGTAGTTGCCGCTTCTCTTTGCCTTCTGATTTTATGCACCGTTAAGAATTGTGTTATAACGGTTGTCGAGGTGAACGATTAACGAAGCACGACATTACATCATCTGCTTTGCTGTTCACTCATATGCCAAAATAAAAAAACTGTAATTGGAGTTATTTGTGTCTGGAAAAATTCGGAATTTGTGAGAATAGTTACCCATACTTACCCGGTAAATTTAGTACTGGTGAAGCCAATAAAATAACCATGACTAATATCAAAGCTCAGAAAACACTCATCACTTCTCGTTCGCAAATCTTGAGTTTCAGGCCTTGAGAATATTAGTTTAAATAGAAATCGATTACTGCAGAAAACCTCACTTTCAGTTTCTTTTAAAGATTGTAATAACTCGTTTATCTGTTTACTTTTATGTCTCATTTCAAGCATTTTTAATTGTCTATATAATATCGGATTGAGTAGTAGCTGTTACTCTTATACGAGCATCTAATTTTTGTTTGTTCTCAGGCTTGTACCAGTTACTATTTGTTGCCATTTTTTCTGAACTACTTTACCCCGAAACAAGCTGTATTCATTACTCAGTCACTTATAGAATGTAACTTTGTCCCATCTCCCAGCTTCGACGTGAAAAAGAGCGACAACTGGAGCAGCAAGAAAACGAGGATCTCGAATTGGCTTTAGCTTTAAGCGCTAGCGAAGCAGAGTCGAATAAGAGAAATGTAAGTCCGTATATTATAATTTGCTTTTTTTCTTCCTCACTATATTTGGTATTTAATAAGTAATTCGGATGAAATAAAAACTAATGTAGAAATTTCAATGCTCTTCGCGATTATGTTTGGTAGTTAAAACGGTTCACTTCATTAAATCGTTTTTACAATCCTAACCTTGGTTCAATCATTCTTACAGTATTTATTATCTGACTACGAAGTAATCATTTGTTTTATGTCAAATTAAGTTAATTTTAACACGCAAATTTTTGTGTTTGTTCCGTTTAATTATTTAGCCTGATAATTTTTTTTAGAATTACGAAGTTTTTAAAAGCTCGGTAACTTTATGACTGATTATATTTCGTGGTAATGTGTGATCTATGGATCTGGTTGCAATTCACAAATAATGTTGACGATCACATTAATAATAATCTTCGTTATGACTTTGGGCTTTAATCGAGCGAATATGAAATGAAAGTTATATAAGCAGCCTGAAACATTTCCATTCTGATATAATTAGTATATTTTAAAACTACCGGTCTGGTGTAACGACGAGATTGAAATTTTTGGTGAAAATCAACTTATTGTACGGATTAAATTTGTTAAGCATATGCAGTATTAGGTTTATGATTTAATTTACAACTCTCAAAAACATCTTATCTAGCTAGAACAGTCGCGCTTGTAGATTAGTTTGAGCAAAAATTCTGTTCATGAGCATGTAATATGTGTTAGAAAAATGACTGTCAGTGTGTGGACCCTCTGATTTAAAACGATAAGGCTTCCATTATTACGAATATATCATTGATTTAATCTCATGTGAAAGTATCCAACCAATTTCAGCAAATTTTTCTAATCTTATTCAAGATCGTATCCACTTACAAGAGTCCATTGAGAAATGTGTTGTGGTATGTTAAGATCTGTTTAAATTGTCACACTGAACCATGTACATTAAGAATGAAAATTCTATCTCGTCAATGTTAAATTTTTCTATATCACTTGTAATACAGAATCAAATAAAGTCTACTATCAATGACAATAAACCATCATCAGCATCGCCAACAGTCGCTCACCTTCTTCCAGTTCTCGATACAAGTGAAATGGATCCCGAGTTGGCGCAATATTTATCCAAACATTATCAGAGAGCTAATCCGTCATCTACTCAGGATTTCATATATCAAGAAAATTCGCAAGAACATCCCATGCTTCAACAGTCTACCACACAGCCTAGCGCACCTATATATGCTTCCAGTACACCATCCGATCATGGTACGATCTCTATTAATACTCTCAAGTCCGGAGTGAACAGTGATTTTAATGTACCAGGAAATAGTCGATCCAGTGAGATAGTAAGTGTATTTCCAAAAAATTAATTTAACAAAAAATGCAGTCAGTTCATTAACTTCATAAACATACAAAAGGGAATACAAGTCCTAATGAAATTCATTATTTTTTATACAACTTCGTAAGTCACTACAATTTCTCGTTCACTGTTTGAGCAACACTAAAGTTAGTTTGTAGCTTTACATACTACCTTCCACGGTGTGAAAAACCGAAAAGTTGCAAGTACCCTCAAAACTGTAACAGGACCTGGGATCATCTTGTTCATGATCGAATCTCTCTTTCTCACCTTTTAATATTTTTCCTACCCCCACAACTAACCCTCATTACGTATTTTTATCAATATGAGACACCAATGCTAACTATTCAAGTCCACTCAATACAATTTCTAGTCTCTTGAAACTGCGCTCTAAACTACATGTTGGAGCTTTAAATGTTCGAACCTTGTGTCAGATAGGACAGTAGGTCATGGCCGTGTTTCACAACCACAAAGTAGAACGAAGAGAACTGCTGTGCATTAATTTCGTTTCTTTGGTTAGAAGACAGACATCTCACCTACTCAACAGGTGACTCAAGTCGAAAAAAGCCAATCGAGCCTTCTGAATCCGTGCCAAGATTTCGCAAACACTAGATCATCAGTATTGATGAGACTCTCAGGATAAGTGTAACGGTCAATGCGTTTGACTATTTCACTTATTATCATTAATTCAGGCGCTAATGCTAATACATTTTGAGGGAGAGAACCGCATCCCAAACATGTTCATATTGTTGTTTAAGGTGGTCAGAATACTTTGCGTCTTTACTAAACAGAACTATATCATCTACGTATTCCAAGTCAACAAGTGAATATGCTAGCAGAAAACCGATCCCTCAAAATTTAGTCGATGAAAGTGTTATCCCTGAAAGCATGTCTATGACAAAGTTAAATAAAAATGGGGAGAGAAGACAAACCTGACGTACGCTACTTGAAGTAACCAGTTCCGATGACAGTTCAACCCAAGCTCTCGACTCGACCACTGATGTTTAAACACGGAGTTTATAGAAGGTTGATGTACTTCTTTGATACGCCCTTCAATGGCAGAGACAGCCATAGAGCTGTACGACCGATGGAGTCGAACGCCACCTTTACGTCAAGAAATACATCTTTTGTCGGATGTCGAAAAGTATATTAACGTTCCAGAACCTGACGTGGTTCGGAGAAACCTTCGTAGCTTAGTCTGAATATTTAGTCGATACACACACATCAAGGTCGGGAGTCAAACTGGTTTTCTCTTTACAAGTCTAGGTTAGGGTTGGGTTATTCTTGAAGCTAATATTTTAAACATGTTAGTCAAACCGATACTTCTGTGATTGTTACAAGATGATTTTCGTCCTCATAAAATGGAACGACCAGCGATTGAAACCAGTCAAATGAGGTTACGTCCTGTTCTCAAATTTTAGCCAAAATCTCAGTCAATCCAACTTCTACAATTGGATCATAATTCTCTCCTCCGCTTTAGACTAACTATAGCATTTCCAGCCTCACTAAGAGTTGGAGAACTTATGTCGATTTCCCATTCAGGTCGTTTGGAGATAGTGGGTAACTGAAGTGTGGCTGAGGGCCAGTTAACTGTTCTCTAAAGTGTTCTTATCATCGGTTCAATTTCCTGGACTAACGGTGAATAACAACCCTGTCTCTTTCCGAGATAGTTTCACTAACAACCAGATGTTTAATACCCGATTCCTTGATAAGTCTGAATAGTTGTCTTTTGTTACCTGTTGTTAGCTACTTTCGACATATAATTTTGAGTCATTTCGAGATTCACGATGCACTTACATTTATGTTATGTTTGACACTAAATCGATTCCGCGGTAACGAACGATAAGCCAATGACACAATGACACGATAAGCTATTCTAATCGGTTGTCCCAGGCCCCGCTAACTAGATGAAGAAGTCCAAGGCAAGTAGGGGAATATATATGTATTCCGTAAGCAGCCGAGTACAAGCAATCGAATAAGGGGAAAAGTCAAGCGCATTTATACAGTAACAAATTGTCCTTGAGCATCATTAGTAAATAGCACACATAAAGAATCAATGGACCAATAGCGGTTAAGATAGTTTACAGGTGGGAAATATGACGTGAAGGTAAAAAGAGCGCTTTTGGCGCGAAAACAGCTAAATTCAAATTTTCAAAATAAAACTACAAGATTAAGCCATTTACCAAGTAAGTTCTGGGGATTTGACATCCCCAACAATTTATTAACATAATAATTATCCATCTTAAAATTCTGACAGTTATTTAGTATTAATTAGAATAAGAATCTAAATGAACTATGCAAAAGAAGTATGATGGACAATCATATGTCTGAATAGGTTAACTCTATATTATTGGCTTAAGAAGTCATATCAAATATATGTCAACAGTTTTTGAGTTTCCAGCGCTAATCTTGATAGTTATTTCATATTGAAGCTTCATTGGTGTTTGAACAACGACTCACAATGTCAGCCGGCTGAGAATATTATTTTCTTAGCATTTTTCTTATTCATAAATGCAAGTGGAAGTTGTATTCATCATAATCAGTCGAATATACTTATCAAAGGAGATGGTGTTTACTCTTTTCACAACTACATTCACAGAGAAAGAGTTAAGCATGTCGAAGACACTATATTTGGGATATTTGCTGCTTACCTGTGTAACTTTCTTTTTCATTTATTACTACTGAATATTGTCTTTTCTACATTCTTACTCATACAATCTAATGTCCAAGTTTTTTTTTGCTGTCAATAAAGAATGAAATAAAAGTCATGTATTATAGCATTTTTAATTAGTCGCTCGCGTATTTTTAACTCATACTTTCATTTGTCTTGATAGACACGAGATGGCTAAGTGTAAAGTTCATATTCTGGCCAATTATTAAAACTATTACATTTTAGTGCAGTTAATTGAAGGTTAATTAACTGATTCAAAATATGTATTTCAGAATTCGGCTAATTCTGACGGTAAGACAGACCTCAACACATCGGAAATCCCAAATCAAGCTAATCCGAAACAAGAAGAGTTCCTTGATGCTCTACGTGGTAGTATCGAATTTTTCGTAAATCGCTTGCAGAGCAATAGTCAAAGAGGACGTAACATTTCAAGTGACACAACAGTTCAAACATTGTTTTTAACACTTAATAAAATGCATCCACAATTAATGGACTACAAACACTACATGGAGGAACGCCGAGGTGAATGTTATAATATATTCAAATTTTCCATTTGTGTTTGGTAACCCATTGCAATAGATATTATGTTTGTAACCGGAATTAGTTTATAAATAACCGTACATGATTAGTATTATTTATTTTGACACAAAAATTGGTGCAAAAGGTAACCAAAATATATATACCCCACACAAATAATTGAACTTATGTACAGACTGGAATACTGTCCTGGTCCCCAAAACGAAGGGGTTCGTCATCTCATAGTGCTACTCCCCGAATTTTTAACTCAGAGGTTTAATCGACAAGGAGTGAAGAAACGTCAGGAGATGCGATCCCATAGTACCCAATGGCCAAGGATAGGTTTATACTCCATTTATTCCCTTAGTATCCTCGAGCTCACATGCCCCATTAGTTTGGAATCAGGGTTTTCAAACTCCCCTAGGTTAATTATCTGTACCCAGCGACGGACATTTGCTTCTCGTCCTCTCAATGTCGTAAACAGCACTACTGCAAGGAGTCAATGAATAGGACTTCACTGGAAACGGCTATATGAAAGCATTTCGAATGAGAGAGCGGGCTCTCCTCACCCTCGGCTGTACCAAGGGATTTGAGGGCACATAATAAATGAGGAAGATATGACCACAGTCATTTAAAAAATATTTTAGGATCAGATGGATGTAGTTATAGACCCAAGTCACTACATTTCTGACCTCCATATCGAGGGATTATTAACGACAGTCGGGATAAATATGATATTAATGACAGCAAAAAGTCAATATAGTAGTTAAAGTTCAAAATCAATAAACTAAAGGCATGGAAAGTAAAACCCATCATTAGTATACTTACTATTTCGCAATGAATGGGACTTACACTGGTGACACAAGTCACCAAAATCTAAACAAAATCACTGAAACCCTATTTCACTTGCGTTAGCTAGGAATTCATTAGGATTAGTGAAAGTTCGAAGATAAATGAACAATCGACTTACTAACCTAATTCACTTCTTGCAGTTACACATGTCATTTACACCAACCATTCCGACAAAAAACATACTAGTTCCCATCAAACTTCTTTGATAACATACTGAAGGTAATAAAATGTCATCGTTGATCATCCAGTCAATCCTCTATCATCCAACATTTACTTTATACAAAAAAAGATTTTTTATCAACACAACAGCTTTTATTTTTAGCCTATTTTGAGAAAATGCAAGACAAGCTTAACCAGATTCGGGAAGCTCGTGAGGCTTTGGATGCATTAAGACATGATCACGCTGTTCGCAAACAAATAGAAGAGCAAGAAGCAGCTCGTATGCGTCAGCTACAGATAATGCAGAAATTGGAAGCTATGCGACAACAGAAAAGAGTAGGTTTGACATGTTTACATATCGTATCATTGTACCATTTCTAAAATATTTTCCCCAGGTATTTATCTATGAAACTTTAACAATTTCTAGATAACTAACATATCAAATAATAAGACAGTAATGTCGTACTTCTTTAAGATTATATATCTGTGAAATAAGCTCTCCTTTTTGACTACGATTAATTTGTTGGACTTGTCTACCAACATCCAGTCAACCTCAGAAATATCAATTGATATGAAATGGCTGAAGTCCTTATTATAACTCAGTATGTGACAACTAACAATAAATTCCACGAAATCCTGTCGCGCTAATAATTCTATTCTTAACCAGTTCTCTTTAGTAACAAATACCAAAAAAACAGCTTTAAAACATACACAGATATATGCTGGTCACATTTCCGATCTTCAGAAATTTACACATATAACTATTCAATTAACTAGCTGCCTTGTTATAATTTATGTAGTTTGATTGGAGTCTAATACAAAGAAAAATGAGCAATCATTGTAATATGAGAGCGTATCTGGCGCGACTAAATAAATCGAATGACTAATACATGGTACTTCAACGATAATAGCTTCACACTAGTAAAAAGCGAGCTCTTTGCCTTAAGCAAAGACAGTAAAACGAGTAATATCACAGTATGTATAGTATTATACGTGATTTTACAATCAGCAGTATTCTATGTGAACCATATGGCATTTTCAGGTTGCAAGATTCACAATATTAATTATGCCATTGCTAACTGCTTATAATAATACTGACTTGCATCAACCATATCCATACCTTACTTCATCGGTTTAGAATTTCAGTGACAGCCTCTAAAGATATATGCATTTTGTTGATTTATCAACTCTTAAACTTGTTCAGCGTACAGGAAGTTGTAACAAACACTAAGTGGTGTTTACCATGTCTACTTATTCTCTGGATTTACATTGAATGTGCTTCCTATCTAGCGTTGTACCTTTAATATCAATTAGAATAAACTACTATCAGGATTTTTTTCAAAATTTTACGGAAATCAATATCTTTAAATTTTTGTAAAAGTCCTGAAATAATGTATGTTAGCGGGACATAGATTGGATTAAAGCATGTTTTATGGATGATGGTGTTGCTGCGCGCTGATTGGCTAATTCTAAACCGATCAGCCCGGGCGTATTATTGGAGAAAATTCTAGAAGCTTCTTATGTATATACTATAAATATATGAACGTTATTCAAACTAGTGATTGCTGTTCACATACCATTATTATTTTGAATACAATTTCAATTCCTGTTCAACGTGTTCTGATTTTGGGGTCTTGTTGAGTGTCATCGTATAAGAATACTAAGCAATAGGAATAGCTGGGTCGTTTATATAGCAAAATACAATTATAACAATGTACTTTCGATTTACACCAGCTTGAAGCAGATCCATGTGGTTTTGCACTTCTAGTGTTATTATATTTCGTAATATACGAGCCTTCTAACCATTTTATTTATATAACGAGATCTTTTCTAGTAGTTAACAAATGATCTACTCAAATACTAGGAAGTTTATCTGCCATTCATAGACTTTTATCAATGAGACCTAAGGAATATTTCTATGGACATCAGTAGCTACCAGCCTATTTTGTACATGGGTTTGGAGGTAGCATTTTTAACTCCTAGTAATGGCAAACTGATGTCCACGAACTCGCATTTACTTTAATAACTCAAACTTATTTTACACATTCTAATATGCTTTATACTTCGGTTCACGATAGTGTTAGTTGAACTTATCAGCCTGCTTTTTGTCATAGCGATTTGTCTCCACTTGCTTTTAAGTGCCTCTGATTCTTTTCATATTTTAATTAAAGCCTGTCAAATATTAAAATTTTCACATAGGACACTTTGGAATACAAACTACGTATGACACTAAAACAAAATATGCAGTACCAACAAGAATACGGAATACCACAGCAGTCCTTCCCGTACAGTGTCGAATCATTTCCTAGTGTACCAACTGCTGCACCTGGAGAAGGTTATCCAACCAATTATGCTTTGCCTTATATATCTGGAATTAATTACGCATCATTTCCACCTGTTCCGAACGGTTATCTACCAAGAGACAATAGAGTTTATGCCACACAATTTCCAGATCCGAATTCAATTGTCCCCACTCAAAGTGGTGCTAGTATACCTAGTTATAACATATCTTACACACCACAATTTAGTTCATATGTTCCTGATCCAGTTGGCTATAATATCCAACCCCATCGTACGTTCTCTCAAGGAAACCAAAATCCAGTTCCGCCTGGCTCATTTTCGATGCAAAGTACGTACCCTCTACATATCGTTTCACAAATAGATTGTGACCATTGATATATTTCTTTCATATTTATATTTCCTCACCTAAGATTGATATATTAAATAGTACAGAGTATATCTCGTTGATAATTGGTTTGGATGTTTAGTTAATCCAATATATTTTAGCTCAGTTGTTGCATGCAGTCGCTTGTTATGCAAATATGGACAACAGATATCGTGATGATCCTATTGTCACTTCAGAATGTAAGTTCAGCGGAGTCCATTTTGCTACAAATATATTTTCATCGTACGAGGCTTTGCTCCGACACGTATTGTATAATGATATTTATTAGTAATGCTAATTTAACTTTATTCAACCCACAATGGATAATTATGACCACGTTTTTCCTTCGAGATTCTAATAGGGCTCAGCAAATCCTTATCTGGTATACAAGGACAATTTTTGATTGCTTCACTTGCAACCAAGTTGTCCATCAAGGAGTTTCGGTCAATTAAGTTTATACTGTATCAAAGACGCTAACATCGTAATCGCCGTAAAGGCTGTCTCATTGAGTTGTCGATGTTTTATTAAAATGATTTATCTTCCTCCTTTCCAACAACATTCATACCTCCACACGTAATAACTATACTCCTGATTAGTCCTCTTTATTGGACGTAACCACTTCTCTAGTTAAGATTAGACTACTAAATGTAGGTTAGTTATACCTAACCCAACTCAGCTTCATCTAACTGGAATCTTTTTATTTTCTGCCTAGGTATACAAGCATCTTTGCCGACTTATACAAGACAAGATGATTCAAAAGGATACCCTGGGAATCAAACTTATCCATCTAGCCAACATGTAATGGACGAAAAGAATGTACCTAGGTACACACAGGTTGTGACCCATCCAAGTGATGCACCTAACAACTATACTGAGCCGGGTGCTGTAGAGGCTCAGTTGATATCTTTCGATTAAACGAAGTTGATTTTTTTAATTCTATGATTCGTGATATTTTCCCTGTAATTAAATATTGTTGACGTTAGCTCGCCGTTATTAGTTTGGTCCCTTTCGTTGTTTTGCCAATTCTGACGCTTATGTTGCAAGCAAAAAAATCCTGGTTTATTTTTGACTGATAACATTTGTGATAGCGTGATTGAATATGCTATGTTAACTCATTATGTCAATCTCTTAATATATGTCAACTGGGAGTGAATGATGCGGCCACATTTTGATCAAAGGCCAAATAAGTAAAAAGATGATATGCCCTTAAAATATGCATGTTTCCAATCCACTTTGATTTCCTCGAAAATTTGGAATAATATGAGATGTTAATCATAATAGTGAAGTTTCTTACTCTACCATATTAAATTTGTTATTCCTTTTAATTGAATAAATCCCATCCAAAAGCTAGTCGTTTTGAATGATCTGGAAATAAAATGCCAATAAAATCGTGTCAAAAATTATATCTATCCAGGGAAGTAAAATATGATTAAGGCCACTGCTAGTTGCCCATATTTTGCAAATAACGTTCAGTGACCAGTCAGTCAGTGACAACGTAGGACCAGGCACATATATGCATCGGTCCAAGTTGACATACCTCGTTAGCACAACAAGATGAACACCGGATTCATAGAAATAGTTAATTTAGTGGTGGTAGTATATAAAAGATAGGTTGTATATAAGGATATAGTATAAGAAGGCAGAAAGTTATGAAGCAATTTTAATCTCAAGGTTTAAGGGAAGATAAAGAGTGTATACACCTACGCCATTGTGATCGATGCAGTCATGTCACCTAGAGTCTCTAAACATTGGTTACGATAGTCACGCGGACCCCAACCAAGTAGTCTGCATCTGCCAACACGGCTCAGACTAGAAGTTAGTGACTTCATGCTCTGATGCCACGTTTTGGTTTGGCTGCTCCTAACTTTCTTCCAACCATCCCCTACACTAGTCAGCATAACGTGTCGTGGTAATCGGTGTTCAGGCATACGTAACATGTGACCTAACCATCTCAGTCAGTCAGTCACAACGTAGAACATCGTACGTACTTACGTACATCAGTTCGAGTTGCCATACCACATTAGCACAGAGATGCAGTTGTCGATTCAAATCCCATAGTGGTGTTCAGGCATACGTAACACGTGGCCCAACCATTTCAGTTGGTTAAGATTCGAAACCTCATCAACTGATTTGCTATCATTCCCTAATACCCTGTGTGTCTAACCTCACTATTACTTACCCGGTTATCCCAGCAGATGCGAGCAATATCTCTAAGGCATCTGTGGTCAAATACTAGTAACCTACGAGCATCTTCTACTCTTAATGCCCATGTTTCACAGCCGTAAAGTAGAACAGAACGAACTGCTGCGCAGTATATTCGTCCCTTAATTGATCAATCGATTTGCCAACCTTACCTAGTACCCGTTTCCTAACATCTGCATTACTTACTCGGTGGTCCCAGGATATACCAGCAATGCGTCGAAGACACCTATGATCGAACACTAGTAGCCTACGAATATCCTCTACTCTTGTCGGCTATGTTTCACTTCCATAAATTAGGACGGAACGGACTGCTGCACAGTAAACCCGTCCTTTTGTTGCTAGACGGATATCTCGCCTACGCCATAAATGGCGCAAGTTGGCGAAAGCTAGACGAGCCTTCTGTATCCGTACTGAGATTTCGTCACACACCAGACCACAAGGGCTGATGAGACTCCCAAGATAAGTGAAGCTGTCAACACGCTCAACTACTTCACTCCCTATCATTAGTTCAGGTGTCGATGCAACCCAATCCTGAAGTAACATTTTGCACTTCGAGGGAGAGAATCGCATCCCGAACATGCCTGCATAGTTGCTTGTAGTGGTCAGAAGACTCTGCATGTTGTCAGCGTCTTCACCGAGTAAAACTATGTCGTCGGCGTATTCAACTCCAGGAGATTGAGATGATGAAAGTGATACCTCTAAAAGCATGTCAACGACAAAGTTGAGCAAGAATGGGGAGAGTGGACAGCCCTGACGAACACCACTTGAGGTAATCAATTCTGATGACAGTTCGCCATAGGCTCTAACTCGACCAGTTGTGTTCGAGTAGAGAGCCTTTATGAGGTTAATGTATTTCTTTGGTACTCCTTTCACTGACAAACACTGCCATAGAACCTCACGATCAACGGAGTCAAATGCCGCCTTAAGGTCAAGAAATACTACTATTGTGGGACGTCTGAATTTGTGTCTATGTTCTAGAACCTGACGTAGGGTGAATATCTGGTCTATGCAACCACGTCCAGGTCGAAAACCAGCTTGGTTTTCTCTAGTCTGCTTTTCACGAGCTTTCTTTAGGCGTCCAAGTATCATTGAAGCTAATAATTTAGACACTATATTAGTCAAACTGATTCCTCTGTGATTGTCACAGGAGGACTTTTGTCCTTTCTTATAGACTGGCACAATCAGTGATTGGAACCAGTCAGATGGAATTACGTCCAGATCGTAGATTCTACCTAAGACCTCAGTCAATCTCGTTGCTAGTACTGGACCACCATTCTTAAAAATTTCAGGTGTAAACTTGTCAGGGCCTGCGGTCCTCCCTCGCTTCAGATTTCCTATAGCTTTTTCAACCTCGTAGAGAGTTGGAGGATTTACCTCAATTTGCCATTCAGGTTGACTGGATATCGTGGGAAACCGAAGTGTGGCTGAAGGCCAGTTGAACTGATCCCTAAAGTGTTCTGCCCATCGATCCAATCTCCTGGATTGAGAATGAATGATATACCCGTCTTTGTCTGGTGTAGTTTCGCTAATAGTTGGGTTCCTAATGCCGGTTTCTTTAATAAGTCTGAATAGCTGTCTGCTGTTACCTATTGCCGATGCCTTTTCCATCTCTCTTGCTTTCCCTACTCACCACTGTTCACGATCATTACGTAGGCTTCTTATTAGCCTGCGCTTAAGCTGACTCCGCTCTTCGTTATGTTCAGAGCCAGGAGGGATGAGTTTACGAGCATCTATCAGTACGCTAGATGCTGCCGAGATCCATTGTTTCTCCCTAACGTTATGGCTTACCTTACTAGTGGATATCACAGCTGTTTCCACAGCTTTTCGGATGTCATTCCACGCTGCTTCGGAGTGGACACAACTTACATGTCTGTCTAACTGTTTTTCCAGTTGTTCCTGAAATATATTCTTAGCTTGCTTATCATTAAGCAGAAGCCTTAGAGGCTTCCCTGCAGTGTCTTTCCTACGTCCAGTAAGTCGCAGACAGATACGTGCTCGCACTAGAGCATGATCTGAATCTAAACATGTGCCCCAGAATGAGCGACAGTCTTCTATCGAGCCCCTCCATCGGTGGCTGATAGCGATGTGATCTAATTGGGTCCAACGTTGGGACGAATTCGGGGGTCGCCATGTCAAAAGATGTTTTTCCTTATGCTTAAAGTTAGTATTTGCAAGAAATAGGCGGTTATCTGAGCATAGCTGCAACAGACGGTCGCCATTATCTGTTCTTTCCGCCATGACACCATAAGATCCTCCCAGGTGTCTTTCCATTTCACTTAGTTTACCTACTTGAGCATTAAAGTCACCAGCCACTATTACTACATCAAAACGCCTAGCTTTTCGGAGAAGGTCAGAAAGTTTCCTGTAAAACTCATCTTTTATATCGTCTGAGCTGCAGTCAGTGGGAGAGTAGGCAGAGACGACGAAGAGGCAACGACGAGTTTTCCTATTTCTCCGAGTCCTTACTGATCCGTTTAGTCGGACAGCGCATAGACGACTGTCTACTGGGATCCAGTCTAAAAGAGCTAGTTCTGCCCTAGGACTTAATGCTATATCTACTCCAGAGAGGCCACGGGAAGCAGCATCAGGGCTTCCAGATACCCGAAGCGTGTATCGAGATGAAACTTTATTTTGTTTAGGTGAGGTCAAATGAATGACGCTACTCGGATCTTGTATGCGCGTTTCGGAGACAAAGCACACATCGATGGTGTAAGATTCTAAAGTCCTAGATAAGAAAGCCTGTTGTCTTATTTGGCACAATGTTCGGACATTAAAAGTTCCTATATGTAGTTTAGAGCGTAGTTTCAGGAGACCAGGAATAACGTTCCGTGTACACGAATCGTTTGCCCCAGCGGTGCGAGGTGATAAAAGGATGTGGGAAGGGTTAGTCGTGGAGATAAGAGAGTTGATAGGTGTAGGAAGGATTTGTTAGTGACCAACTTGGTCTCGTGTGCTGTTACGGGTATGAGGGCTAATATCACTTCCCGGCTGCCCACACCGTGGAAGGGTATTTCTTGAGGGACCTGAAAAAGAAGTTGGATTAGTGTTGGTCATAACGACTTGGGAGCGTGACCGCAGTGCCCAAGGGACAACTGCTTGAGGCCGGTCACGCACGGCCTTTTCGTGGGGGATTTTTGAAGTGTTAGCTCCGTTCTTCAAAGGACCTTACCGCCGGAGACGGAAATCCGTGGGATAAGGCGAGGTGTGCATTTTTAGGGTCGACCTCTTCTAACCCCACCCCTCCTTGTGGGAAGGCAGCATCGCTGTCGTGCTGGTTGTCTGAAGGGAACACCTTACTGCCGTCACACCTCTGTACAGTCGTCAGTACGACTTCGCCTTCGAACCTTGGGATTGCTGCTTTTAGTCTTACCGCTCTTCAACCGACCTGTCTGGCATTTTAGGACCTCGAGGAACGATTGTTTCAGCCAGCATAGCTCGATTGCTTCATCACGATAGGCAAGCTCGACCACCACGTCAAGGTAGCAGCAACGGTCGGGAGACTTCCAAGATAAGTGCTGGTTACCTGAGGGAAACACCTTACTGCCGTCATACCTCTGTACAGTCAGCAATAAGACTTCGACCTCGGACCTTGGGTTTGCTGCTGTTAGTCTAGGCGCTCTTAGACTGATCTGTCTGGTATGGTAGGACCTTGAGGAACGATTGTTCCAGTCAGTATAGCGGGACGGGTTCATCACGATAGGCAATTGCGACTAACCTGCCAAAGTAGCAATAACGGTCGGGATAGTTGTACCGTTGACTGAATATTATACGCGCAACAATAGGTTAACTAGATTCAGAGTATTGAAGTAAACGTACTAAATACATCTAAAATACTGATTACCATCAAACTATACAAATTTATTGAGAAAACTGATGATAAGCAGACTATACACAGTAAACTATATCACTACCTCATTACATAATTATAAACAGGGCTTAATGACCTAGGGATTCACTGCTTTTAACATCATTATGGGGGTTCAACTCCGCCAATTGTACTTCTAAGGCTTCTTCCGGTCCCAAGCCCAGGTAGTGGAGCAGGGTAGGCCATGGGATCAACAACTCCATTTCGTAGAAAGCGTTGCTACAAGACGCTAACTAGCAAAAAATCCACTTAAAATTTGCCCTGGGAGTTGAAGGACTTCCGTCTAGAAGAATTATGACGTCGAGATTTTTCAGAAACCACAACCCTGATGCCCTTTTTGTGACAACCAGAACAACAATCAATATAGGTACGAGGAATGTCCAGACAATGCGGGAGACTGTGAAGATCAGTCAAATGGCTGAACAAATAAGCCCACGGCACAATA